AGACACACACATGCACACAGACACACACATGCACATAGACACACACATGCACATAGACACACACATGCTCATAGACACGCTGCTTACAGATTGTACAGTGACATAGAAAACATGCAGGAAGATTGGTGTGTAAGTAAAATGAGGATTCAAATCTTCAAAACATCTCAAAAGTTCAGGAAAAATAAAATGCATGTGATAAAGTCATGAAAGAAAAATAGGAAGTGGATTATTCTGGATTAATGACAAGGCCTGGCAGAGAGTATAAAGTGTGACTCTGAATGAAGACGGACAAACAGACCCATGGATCACAGCCAAAATGGTGAAAAAGCATGTTCTTGGAGAAAGAACATGGTTACGGTCTGAAGTTCAAATGGGCTCATAAGATCGATGTGAAAGCAGGGACACATGTTCAAATGCACAGGGATGAAGCATTTCCTATTGCTGTTTTGTGTCAGGGTCTCATGAAGCCTGGGTAGCCATGGCTGAGGATGATGTTGAATCATCCATCCTCTTGTCTCTAAGTGGTGGGATTCCAGGTATGTGCTGCCAGTGCTGGGAACAGAACCCGGGGCTTTGTGCCCGTGAGGCAAGTGCCCTAACGACTGAACTACATCCCCACCCCGGGACAGAAGAGTGCCGTGTTTGCTCTTCATTTCCAGACAGCCGGACAACAACAGTGCCCAAGCCTGTACTGCATCTACGTCTCCACACACAATGCTGTAAGTGGGAGAAACTCACGGGAACCGGTGGCTTTGGGTGAAAGACATGCAGAGCTCGGCTAAACCACTCATTTCCCCAGCGCGTCAAAAAATGTCAGAGTGAACAGAGGGGCAAGATTCTCAGCTCAGATACTTACATGTCATCTAAACAAGGAGTTGTCACAGAACCCAGCCCCGCATCCCACAGCTGACACTTGCTACCATCACGATGACAACAGATATTTAATTCCAGCAAGCAGCCTCCCTACCTAGCAACTGTTTTACCACCCCCCCCCCGTCTTTATCATTCTATTAAATTCTTGAAAGGATAGGACAGAACAGAAAAGCATCAACTGTGAGCTTTACTTTCCTTGTGGTCAACCCCCACCCCGCCCCGTGTGTGTGTGTGTGTGTGTGTGTGTGTGTGTGTGTGTGTGTGTGTGTGTATGTAGAAAGGATGTGTGAGCCAGAGGTTGATGTCAAGACATCCTTCTCTACCACCCACTCACTTTATTTTTGAGTCTGAAGCTGGAGTCGCTTCTCTCAGGGAAGCTGGCCAGACAGCTCCAGGGACCTTCCTGTCACCACTTTGCCATTTCTGGGGTTAGAGGTGCAGGCCTCCATGCCTGGCTTTTTATGTGGGTGCTGGGTACTGAATTCAGGCCCCCATACCTATACAGCAAGCACCTTAGCCACTGACCCGTGTCTCAAGCCCCAGCACTCTTCTTAGGGTGGCAGTGTGCCATGCCACATAGGAATGCCTCTTGGTTCGTGGCCCAGACTTGCAGTCTGTACCAAAGCTCAGGTCCCCAGCACCCAGGGAACATGAAGGCAGCCCATGGGCATCCTCACTAGGCTTGACAAGAGCAGAGTCCAGGTCTAGGCTCTCTCTGTTCAAGGGAAAGAAATGAGTGACCAAACCAATCAGAATCCCTAGGCCACACTAAGCACCTTCGGGATGCAGAGAAAGGGAGAGAGAGAAGAGATGGCATGGACAGAGGCAGGGCTTTACATCTTGCTGAAGAAGTTTGCCGGGTGGTGCAGAGACACACAGTGGAGGCTTGAGCTGTCTGCCTCCGGCTGATTTCTCCCGGTCATTTTCAGTCACCTCGAAGCCAACAACCGGTAAAGAGTGAAATGTTCTCATTCCAAATCTGCCTGCTGCTAATACTTCTCCTTCACCTTCATTAGAGACCCAAAGACACAAAGCAGTCAGCTGCTGCCTCTCTCCCACACACAGCCCGTCAGTCACTCACCTTGGGTGCTCCCTCCCTGATGTTGGTGCCTCTCATGTCGGTGATGTGAGCAGGCTCCTCTCAGCTCTCCAGCTGATATCTCTGGCCCCAGGGCCCGATGATGCAATGTCACTGCATGCTGCTGGCTGGTTCCCAGCAGCTGGATTCTACAGAACTGTTTGCCAACACATGGAAAGAGTCGAGAAGATTCTTTCAAGTAATGAGCGTCAAATGAAAGGGATAAGGGAGGCGGGGCCAGAATGACGGCCACACTCACGCCTCCACGCCTGACGTCTCACTTCATCTGTAAGTGAGGCTGACACTCTTCTGCTGTGTAAAACCACAAAAGAAGAAGGGGAAAAAAACCACCCTTCTGCTTTACAAGGTGAAGTTCCTACTTTGAGCAGCGTAGGGCCACACCGCATGCTTGTCCATTGAAGACTGTGGAACAATTCCCAACCAGCAGGCAATTCCACGGTGAGGCGAAGTGGCTGAGTTTCCACTGTGGTCAGCGTGTCTTCCTTCCTGCCCCTGTGCCTTGCTCTGTGACATCGAGGATAACAGGAGTGAGTGGCATGCCGCAAGAAGACAGTCTCTGTCCTAGTGTCCCTGTAAGGACAGACCCTCGCTCTGACCCTCCCTCTTCTTCACTCTAATCCTTGGTGGTGCTTATTTTAGTGGGGGCTTGGCAAAGAGCCCTGGGCCCAGCCCCACACTCAGCTGTCTTTGTGATCTATCGACCACATTCTGAATTTACACAGTGGAGTCCTCCTGACTTTCCAACCCAGGACCTGATATCCAGAGAGGAGCCAAGAGTGTGAAAATGCACTTTCATTTCATTTAAGCAGAAGGGTTCCCATCTTCTAAGCAGCTCCTCTGAGTTGGACTGGAACTCTACGTCGACCAGGCTGGCCTTGGACTCACAAAGACCCACCTATTTTTGCCTCCCAAATGTGGGATTAAAAATTTGTGCCACCACGCCCAGCCTTCCTTTACAAACTCTTAATTTCTCTGGGTACAAGTCCCACACACCCAAGTCCCCACACCTGATTGCCAGGACTTATTTGCCAATTGAAATAACTGGCCAGTTTCTAGACAGGGCTCTGCATTTTCAAAAGGTTATCTTTTTTTTTTTGAGACAGGGTTTCTCTGTGTAGCTTTGGAGCCTTTCCTGGATCTCACTCTGTAGACCAGGCTGGCCTTGAACTCACAGAGATCCACCTGCCTTAGCCTCCCAAGTGCTAGGATTAAAGGCATGCACCACTGCTGCCGAGCTCAAAAGGATATCTTTAAAACATGAGAACCTAAAAGGCCAGGTGTGTTGGCACACATCTTTAATCCTAGCCTTCTGGAGGGCAGATGCAGGCTGATCAAGGATAGCCTGACTTACAAAGCAAGTTCCAGGCCAGCTAGGGCTACATAGTGAGACCCTCAAAGGAAAAAAAAAATTAAACAGGCAGGATGGCTCCATGGGTAAAGCTGTTTGCTGCCAAGCTGAAAACTTGAGTTGGACTCCCTGGATACATATGATAGAAGAAGAGAATCGATTCCTGCAAGTTGTCTTCTGACCTCAAATGCACACTGGCATGCGTATGCACCCCTCCCCAGATAAAATAAACATAATAAAAATAAGCAAGTAAATAAATAAATATGATATCCTTGTTTGAAGTTATCATCAAGGAACAAGCAGTCAGCCATGTGCAGATAGATGACAGCAGACGTCAGGAGGGACAATGACTGGACAGAAGGAACAGGTTCATTCATAAACAGACTTGGAACTGTGCACGTGAGTGCACACTGCAGTCCCTGCCTCTGTAGTGCTGAGATAGGAGAGCTGCAGCAATTTTAAGGCTAGCCTGGCCTACCTAGGAGTTCTAGGCCAGTCTGGGCTACAGTGTGAATCTGTGTCTTAACAAACAAAAAGAAGACACTGATGCCCCATGTCAAAATCCACGGAGAAGACAGAGGAAGACAAGACCTGAAAAGGGTTGGGGTGAGTCAGAACAGAGGCGGCAAGGGAAAGAGCGTGTGCGTGCTCCCTTAGGGAACTGCGGCAGATGCAGAGAGCAGCGTGAGTCACAGGGCCAGAGCTTCGGTGACAGCCTCAGCGCACAGAAGAGCTTAGCCCACTGCTTCGCACACAGTGACCAGTCGGCAGGCTCTGCTGTCATACACAGAGCTGGAGAGTCTTCATAGCAGAAACGTGTGTGTCGGTTATTTAATTCTTGTTAGTGTGAATGGTGTTTTGCCCTTATGCACTACTTAAAGGCACCATGTGCATGCAGTGCCCTCAGACTCCTGAAGAGGGTGTCAGATCCTCTGGAACTGCCCTTACAGACTGGTTCCAGCCTCTAAACTGCTGAGCCATCTTTTCAGCTGCTGTGCCACTGATTGAAGCCCAGATGTTTCCTGAAGAGCCCCTATGACCCCCCCACTTCCTTCTTTCCTTCCTTTATATTGAAATAGGGTCTCGTGTAGCCCAGGCTGGCCTCACATTTTCTATGTAGCTGAGGATGACCTTGAACTTCTGATCCTCCTGCCTTCCCCTCCTAAGTGTTGGGATGACAGGCGTGTACCACCATACCCAGTGTATGTGTGCTGGGGACCAAATCCAGGGCCTTCTTGAGCATGCTAAGCAGGTACCTACCAATTGCGCTACAGCCCAAGCCCTGACACTGAGCTCAGCTAAAAAGCACTTGTTGCTTATACTAATTTCTAAAACGAAAGTCAATATCCCTAATACGTGGGGGCCTGAGAAAAATCCAGAGAGTGAATAACATCCCAAGAAAGCAGAGAGACTTAACGCTACAAAAACACAAAGCCCACACCCAAATGCCGTGGCTTGTTAGGGAAGAGAGCACAAGGAAGTGTTGGGCTGAATAACGGCCAAATGAAAGCGAGAGTCATAGGGACACACATCCTCTTTCATTCATGTAAATGATCCTCAGAACTCACCTTCAGCAGCTACCTCAGAAAGTCCATTCTGCATGGGAGGCTTTCCGAGGTTCATGTAAGTCACTGATGCTTCCCTAACACTCAGAATAGTACCAATCACACAGTACTCTGAAATCATTACAAACAAAGATTTCGTATTTATATGTGTGTTTGTTTGTGGTCAAAATACCTTATGTAACTAAGCATGAAACCTGCCGAAGACTAAGACTTGCTTTGCAACGTTGTTGGTCGTAGCGGCATCTGGAGTACTGGTGCAATGCTCCGCAGCCACCGACCTCTTGGCCTTGCTCCTTCAGCCGCTCCCCCTCTTTTCTTTCTTGTGGTGGAGTTCTTCTTAGCACCTGGAGAAGCTGTGAAACCAGGATGGAGAGGAGCTTGCAGGTTAGCCCAAGAACCCAGCCCTCAGGTCCCACTGTGGGTTTATGTGGTGGGGAAGCCCGCCCTCCCTGACAGGGTTGTCTGTCTTGGCGATCTCGGGAAGAAGGGTCTCTCTCTTGCTCTCTGTGATGCTGGGTCCTGTTGGTGTACATTTGTGCCACATGACTGCCACACCCTGACAGGTTGAGCAGAGAGAGAGAGGAGAAGAACCTGAGACTCCAGAGCACTAGGATTTGGCCATACCCACAGTGCCTTCTGTAGGCTTACCGGTCACCTGGGGCTGGGGTCCAACCTTCAGGCTCAGTGTGCCACATGGCAGCTCCTCCCTCACACATCCACAGCAGTCTCAAACTGTAGCTGGGTGGTGATAAGTACTTTACTTACAAGGAACTGAATTCATCTGGTCAAATAGCCGTCATAACTAAGGAGCGACTTGGAGCTTCTATTAGAACACATCTAAATGGAAGTGCAAACACTGGCTGGATGTGATTGACTTGCTAATTCGACATTACGTTTTTAGATGTAATGATGTTGACTGTGCCTTTGAAAGACCCTGTCATCCTAATATAATATATATTTATATATGAATGCACATGACATCTTGCTTCAGTTATTCAGGAAATATGTGGATGTTTGGGTAAATGAAGATTGGTCATAATTGGGCTGGGCATGTGGCTCACAGGTGATGTGTATGCCCAGTTTGTGCAAGTCCCTGGGTTTGATCCCCAGGACCACAGAAAGACCACATGCCATGATAAAGAGTTTGCATGGTAGATATACTGGGCCTCATCACACAGGAGACATAAACTACTATGTGTGTGTATGTGTGTTGTCCTGGCTGGTCTCATGTCAACTTGACACCAAACTAGAGTTATCTGAAAGGAGGGAACCTCAACTGAGAAAAATGCTTCCATAAGATCTGGCTGTAAGGCATTTTCTTAATTAGTGATTAATGGGTGTGGATGGTGCCATTCATGGGCTGGTGGTCTGGGGTTCTATAAGGAAGCAGGCTGAGCAAGCCACAGGGAGCAAGTCAATAAGCAGCTCCCTTCCATGGCCTCTGCATCAGCTCCTGACTCCAGGTTCCTGTTCTTATTAAGTTCCTCTCCCGACTTCCTTCAGTGATGAAGAGCACTGTGGAAGTGTAAGCCAAATCAACCCAACCTTGCTTTTTGGTCATGGTGTTTCATTGTGGCAATAGTAACCCTAACTAAGACACTGTCTCTCTGTGTGTATGTGTAACAGCATGTCAATAGTGCTATAGTGTGTGTGAGAAGGTCAGAGGACAACTTGGGGGATTTGGTTCTCTCTTCTCACTATGTGGGTTTTGGGGATCAAACCTGGTCCCTCCACAGGCTTGGTAGCAAGCGCCTTCATCCACTGAGCCATCTCACTGGCCTGCACTTGTAACATTTATATCTTTTTATTTTATATGTCTTCATGTATGCATTGTATCACATGTGCCTAGTGCCACGAAGTCAGAAGAGGGGGTCAGATCCTGGAACTGGAGTTACAGCTAGTCAGGAACCACCATGTGGAGCCTCTGGAAGAACAGTAAGTGCTCGTAACTGCTGAGCCATCTCTCTAGCCCTACACTTTTTTTTTTCTTTTTATAAGACTGAAGAAACCAAGTCAGACATGGTGGTTCACAGCTGGAATACAAACACTCAGGAAGTCGAAGCAGGAGGGTTGTCATGGTTTGAGGTCACATAGTAAGTGGGACACATAGTAAGTTCCAGGCAAGTCTAGGCTACACAATGAGACGCTATCTCAAACCAACCAACCTTTCTACCCACCTACCCTTTGTTCTCTATTTATATATAATTCAAGTACTGTAAAATTCATCTTTAAGATTTTACGTGTGGATGTTTTGCCTGTATGTGTATCTGTGCACTACAATGTGTGTGCAATGCCCACAGAGGCCAGAAGAGGGCGTCAGATTCCCTGGAACTGCAGTTACAGTCATTTGTTAGCAGCCATGTAGGTGAACCCAGGTCCTCTGGAAGAACGGCATGAGCTCCTAACCACGGAGCCATCTTTCCAGCCCCCAAATTCACTTTCTTAGGTTACAAAAACTAGATTTTAAAAGTATATTTAGAGATATAGAAGCATCACCCTTAACTCGAA